TAGCAGGGCACGTGCAATGACTCAATCGTTAGCCCTTACCTTTCGTGCATCATCAAATATGGTGATCGGAATTTCTAGGTGAAGATCGAAAAGAAACGCAATGGTGTGATTATCTTGTAAAGATCTAAGGGCAGTGTTTAGAGCAATCCTCTTTGAGAAAATCCCGGATCTTTTTATCAATTTATAGGGTGGAAGTATTCGCTTCTCTAGCTCAACTCTAAGGTCAATGTCTTCACTKTCAAAATCRAAAACCAACAGTGAGATGTTTTCGTCTTTTGTTGTAACRTAGATGAACTGCAAGTTGTCAAGGAAGTGTTTGAACCAGCTTCCGAGGTTTCGCAAACAAATTACTATGGTAATGTTAGCCCTTCTATTCCAAGCAAGGTCTTCTGGGTAGCACAGCTGATCGGTAAATTTATTGTGGTAGATATATTCTGACAATATAGATGTCTTGTTGTTATTTTGAAGTAGGGTTACGTTGAGCTCCAATAAGTAACGTGAACCTTTTTCACCATTTGGCTTTTTCTCGACGTTGATAATGTTACTTAATGCATATTCCCTATAAAAGTTAAAGATATTTACCATTAGACCAGAAGTTAAATTTCATATCCCAACAGCTATAACTTTTGTCATTATTTATTTACATGACCAGTAAAAAGTATGAAATACCCAGAAAGCACAGCTAAATCGCCATAAGCACGTATCTTGATATTCTTGGTGAGAGCAAGACGTCATAGATATCTAATATTGGAAATTTCCCATCTAAACATTTAATTATTTGTTTGTGTGTGCTAAACTATCAAAGAGAATTTATATGAAGTTTAGAACATACACCTTTTCAGYTGCACTTAGGCCTCGATAGCAAGTTAATTATTCTTTTGAATTTRACAAATGAGACTATTCATATCATTTTGCTCACATTCCTACAAATTCAAAAGAATAGTTAACATGCGCCGAGGCCTAAGAGCAACTGAAAAGGTGTAAGGAAAACAAAAAATTAGGAATATTATACATTTTCTTGAATTATTTAAACTAAATTAGAGCAAAATACTAATATTCATGACGAAATATAAGTGTTTTGGTGAAAAATATAGATATTTGAAGACTAATTTGCATCAGCCATGTTGGTGCACAAAAGTTGTACACCATCAAGGCCACACAAAGAACAAGATATTCTTAGGGAATTACGACTCGTAATTCATTAACCATTCTCTCAACTCTTTAAAATTTTTACTTTACTCTAGATTTGGGAATTAATACTGTGACGACTGAAAAACATATGGAAAACAGTAGTAAAAKCACCGGGTGCTCGTCAAAAATTTTCAAAAAGAACCAGAAAAGATCCTGAAGTCTTGAAAAAAGGGCGCGGCTGACTGACTTTTAATCCCTAAGAGATGCACAACAAATATTGAGGAAAAACAATATCAACGCGCTCTAAATAACATAGTCCGTATTTTTATCGCATTCCTGCTCCGCAGTCTACTAAATCTTTCTCGATTCTTGTTGCCAATTTCTTAAAACCCGGCCAGGAGAATATCAATCGTTTTATGTCGTTTCRCCATACATTTACTTTTTATTACTAAGGCCTTCTTATATACTTCCTATTTCGATRCAACTCTCTCGTGTGTTAATGCTTCGTTCTTAAAAGTCCRAATATTTTCAATTAGTAAATATTTATTTTGATGCAGCTCTCACGTGTTCTTTTCTTCAATCTTAAAAGTYTWAACTTTTAAAAAGGTTGTTTTGTCCTATATTCCGATCCAACTCTCTCGTGTGTTATTACATACTTTCCCAGACCTAAGTCAGGCAGATGATTTTTTTGTGAAAAATCGTCGGAACAACCTTAATTTCAATTAATAGAACAAGCGAAATGCAAAATAATACTGTTGTACAAGTTTGTATAGTCACAAGCAAGTCACTTTGAGATTTTTTCGACTGCTAATTCTGGGACTGAATGTCAGGCAGTAAGAATGAAATAAGGTACTTGTCAGAAATTAGCAGAGGGAGGGAGGTGGGATTTTGGTGAGATTTTTCCACTGCTAGTTCTGGGATAAGGTACTTGTCAGAAATTAACAGGGAGGAGGGTGGTGGGATTTTGGTGGGATTTTTCCACTGCTAGTTCTGGTACAGAATGTCAGGCTGTAAGATTGACAAAAGGCTCTTGTCATAAATTAACAGGGAGGAGGGAGGTGGAAATTGAAAAGTGGGTACTTTGGGATAAGGCGACATACCAGAGTTGTGGAAGTGAGTAGTAGTGGAATGGGCATTCTGGCACAGCACTCATGTGTGACGAGATGTTTTTCAATTTTTTTATGCTGTTTTTAATTCATTCTCTAGGGTTAGGGCTAGCCCTATTTTTTAAAAGAAACATATTACACATGTTTTTTCTTTGTCCAGTAAACCTCATGTAGTACGCAAATGAGTACATGGGATTATACAAAAATTAACGCTGTGTATCACAGAAAATTTGGTTGAAATGTGTTTGTTTTGTTATTTACTACTAGACCAAAATAGCGGGGCAACAGTAGCGGGGATTTTAACAATGAATGTGTCCCGACTACCGGGGGAAGTGTCTTATTTCAACACTACTCAAACGKTAAATTCTCTGTATTCCCCGGGTGGAATTGGGAATTTCAATTGACTAGTGCATAAAACGTCAGGCCGTCAAAAAATCTCAAAGTGCCGTGMTTATGACTATACAAACTTGTCGAACAGTATTATTTCGGTCTTATTGCATTTYCCTTGTTGTACGTATTCATTGAAATTACGGTTTTCCAGACGACTTTTTACAAAACAAAATCGACTCCCCGGACGTTAAGTTCTTGGACTAAACGTCAGGCTGCCTAACGTTTAGACACTCCGAATTAATTTATACCACCCATTTCCCGTCTCGACCCAGTCCCTGAATCTGCTTCTTACCCCTTGTATCGATTGCTAAGTTGTTCCATGTACATCTTCGTAAYTCGTTTTGCGTCGTTCGGTTCCAAATGATAACTGTCATAAGTTAGTAAATTATCTATTCCTTGTGTTACCATATATGGAAACACGTATATTGGGACAAATTGCGTGGTTTTAAAACGCCAAAGAGGTTGATTATTACTCATCAAAGGAGTGACTGGCTTCCGATATGAAGGCTTGTATTTACAATACGGCAAGGCCTGACTCACTGCAGCATGGTCGATATATCTTGATTGTTCTACCTCGGATATTGATCTTATGTTGTGGTGATGAGGTGAAGTCAAACATAMGGGACTTTCGTTTGTAGGCTCATTAGCTATTGATGACACGTGATGGTCAATGATTGACAGGTTTTTTTCGCCCGGTYGTACCCAGGCTACCTCCAGATGATCATCATCGCGTACTTGCATATGGATTATTTCAAAGTAATACTGCTGACCTGATAAAGAATATCATTCTTTATTACGAAACRTCATCAATTCAAATATAATAATAACTGAGAGGGATATTTGGAATTAGGTATACCCGAAGCCGAAGAAGCTTTTTAAAAAAAAATCTTATTAACACCATAATTCTCGATGTCAATTTAAGCAAATTTGCAAAATGTCATGCGGGAGAGATTCATCTTGTGCATCATAGATTAACCGTCGAGACCAGCGACATATTGAATTAAAAAAGAACGTTTTCGTCTCCCTCCCTTACCACAGTTACCTGTACGACGAGGACTTTAAGCCTTTATGTATATGTGTAATAAATCAGTTAGTAATTAATGTTACATCGTGATTATGATGCTATACTATAAGTCTAAAATCATATACAACATGATACAACATTGTAAAAATCAAATTTGCTACAAATCAGTAGATTACAAATTTCTCGTTGTTAAACATCATTAAGCGTCACATTATGAATTTAAACGTCAAACATCAAACCGGCGTTTTTTAGCKGTCAGTCGTCAGCCGCAAACAGACACCCTCATCGAGACACTCTCTCAGACATATTTGTTTTTCGTTGCTATAGCAACACTGATCTAGTTGAAATCAGTATTTAACACTAAATCTTTCATCACTGTAATCGCTATCTACACGAAAAAAGTAGAAAGGATAGTATATCCTGTGTTTTATAACAAAGGACATCAATTAGACCAGGGGCACTGGCTTGGTCAATTTACTGAATAGAAATTGAGTCAAGGAGATTAATACACTATGGAACCTGTATATAACCTGTATATAACCTGTATATAACCTGTATATAACCTGTATATAACCTGTATATAACCTGTATATAACCGGATAAAGGTATCCATTCGGCTTTATTTTATATTATATTCTAGATTAGGATAATTATCCCATTGACTATTCACCCTTCATAAATCCAACCTCTGTACTCCATGCTTCTCATTGTTCTTACCTTTTATTAAATGTATAGGGTTTGATTTCTGAGAAGGGAATTTATCAAACTCAGTTGGCAAGGTATATGATAAGCTACCATCCCGTTCCCCAACAGAGCAGATCTTTCTTGAATTCTTTTTAACCATGTCCCTACTGATCCAAACTTCAGAGCTATCATCAGATGTGACATAAAAAGTATATTCTCCAGTAACYGGTGGATGTAKGTAGCCAAAGATTCGTTGTGCAAAGCTTGTATGGTTACGGCGTACTTGCAGTCGATCGATAGTGAATTCCTTCATCGGAGCTTTAGGGAAGAGAGGATGAWTRCAAAGTGACTGCAATCCGACAATACACAGATCAAACCATAGTTGGACAGCAAGTCCATTRTAATTAGGGCTAACATTAGAATTAATCTCTCCAGCCTCTGTGTTYTTGTCATAATAGACARCACTTGTCCAGATAAAGTAAACTGCAATAACAARAGAAAAGGGTAMAACTATTCTGATGAAACGTCGCAGAAGAAAACGCATSATTTTGCTGATAGTCAAGGTAGCTACTAGTRTAATTACGTCTGGTATTAATGCCGTGTAATGTAAATTTTGTGAAATGACCTCCACGTTGGCGCATAGAGTTTTCGTGAAACTGGTATCGTCTCTATGGTAATTTGAATAGAATAAAGTTTTAAGAAAAGTTTTTTTTATATCTATAATTACTTAATGATTAAAATATTTCCATCCATTTGTTCATAATCGCTTAGATTATTATAATTTCACTGCGAATATCAGTTTTCCTTACACATTTATTGACCAGAGTACGTTCCTACATTCATTTTCTGCTCATTTTCTTCTATATTATATATTGTAATTATGCTCAGATTATTTTATTTCACTGCAGCGATCATTATGTTAATACACGCGTACTTCAAAACGTTGAATTTCAGCTGCATTTTTACATTTTCTCCTAATAAGCCATTTGCATGATGGCGTAACTTTACTACAACTACCAGAGAGTCTAACGCATTTTCATTGTTATTCAGATTTCACTAATCGCATTACAAAAGAAAGTCGGCAAAGCATTCTGGTAGTTGTAGTTAATGACGCCATAATGCAAATCGGCTATTAACAAAGAGTAGTGCGAATTCAGTTATCATGCATACTTGTTAATCAATCTAAATTGTAGAGCATTAACTAATAGCCCATTTTTTGACGCAACATGGGCATTGACTTAATTTTGTGTTGATTTTATCGCCAATAGTCTTCTTCACGGTTCCCTGCGCCATCTTGAAAGGTAGCCGTGCCTTTGCATCGAAGCCGCGAGACGACCGTTGAGCGTGCAATGATAGAAACGTTCTTTYACACCTACAGAAAATTATTCACAGGTATCTATCATTGCACGCTCAACGATCGTCTCGCTTCGATGCAAAGGCACGGCTACCTTTCAAGATGGCGCAGGTAACCGTGAAGGAGACTATTAGGCGTGTAAACAGCCTAAAAATTCACTGCAATTTCACTACAACAGCTCGAAGGTACATCTGAGTCAATTCGAATACACTCACAATTCTACCAAAAAATGCTACGATTTGGACTTGAAATTGTCAAAGATCGCGCTAAAATATGTCACGTGACAACACTGGTAGTGTAAATACTAAAAACTCGCCTTATCGTTCAAAGATCTTCTTCAACAGATCGAACCATAAATGTTTCAACCATAGGTTTCATGAATTTATAAAGTCATTTAATACTGCCAATTCTTTGTTTTTAATCTCTTTCAATCCAGTGTTCCTGGCATGGTCTTGTTTTCGAAATGTCCACACTTTTTCACACATATATTTGCTTTTCCCCATATTATTCCAGTATTTCCAATACAGAATCATCTTGTTGTCGACATATTAAAGCAATTAAAAGTTATCCTGTTCCTTTTTTCTTACTACTGAAATTTGGCCTAAAAAAGATTGAAAATAAATTGCTATTCATCTTTCGCAAATCGGTTTTCCGGATATGCCAACGTGTCGTAGTGATGACAAATTTGACGGGAATATATCTGTGCTTTGATTTCGCTCTCCTGAGGATTTTTTGCTTGCGATTAAAAATTGTGACAAAAATTCGATGTGTCAACAAATATTTTATGTTTTTTTTTTTGTTTGTTGTTGTTGTTGTTGTTGTTGTTGTTGTTTGTTTGTTTGTTTTGTTGTATTTTGTTGTTGTTTTTTTGTCCCTTTCGCGTACGCGAGGGAACCCTGTGTCGGGCCATGAATAATGGACTCGATGGGTATACCATTTTTTTCTACCTAAAATGCTCCACTAACTCCATCAGAGATCAACTATTTGACAGGTACGTTCAAATAAAAGAAAAAAAAGGTTGCTGTCACATCAAGCTAGCTGATGATCTATTTTTTTAAATAAAAAATAACCGAAAATAGGTTATTGTTATCGTGTCATAAATGCCATGTTACATTAAAATTTAAATCTCGTAAGCAGAGTGACAAGATGCGGCTGCTAAACTCATAGTGTATTCTTTGAGATGGTTATTAAGCTAAAGTCGAGTTTTTACACCTTTTTCGTGTTCTCGCACAAAAATGTGTTGTTTATTGCTTTCATTTTAAAAGCATTTCCGTATCCGTGGGTTTACCGGTGATATAAACAATAACATTCGACCAATCAGAGAGYGTGTACTATAATAGCTATAATATAATCAACATTCTACAACAACACGAAATAACATCTAGTGATACCCAGTAGCTGGGATCTAATAACATTATTTTCTTTTTATTAGGGATTGTAAACTAAAATTATTTATGCAAATGCTTTGTCGTTGCCTTTGTGTCTGTATAACTGAGCAGAGTTAGACTAATGGGATTGACTTTATAAAAGTTAAAAAATCAAATAAATACAGCGATTCAAACCATTAAAAATAATGTATATAACATTCATTTCTGAACTGGGCAACTACCACTTATTGGCATGGAAAATTATGCTTTTCTTCATGTCTTGATGAGCTTGTCAGGTGTTTATAGACTGTTATATCACTTTTCAAAAATGCTATTGAAAGAGTCAGTTGGGCTATAATTGTAAGCATCAGATTCGTCAAAATCTTCGAAAACTGGCATGATTTATTTTAGAAAAAATCCTTTCCCTGTTTTGGTTTTCATCTTTGTAATTAAACAGCCTTATCTGTAAGAAATCGACCCTCARGCAGCAAGGAAATCGAAAAAATGTTTTTGTTATTATACTTGGCTATCATTTTGAACAGTCCAAACTATATGTCCTCAGTCTGAAACTAAATTTTATCTTTTCACACACATAATGTGATCTTCCAGTTTGCAGTTAATGCACAGCATGTGTAAGCAGTCTTTTCCGACCTTTTCACTTCAGTTTTCTTTGATCTGTTTTCGGTGTTTGTGCAAATATTTATAGTGTGATTTTGAAATTTTCAATAATATATATGGCAATGTTAAAGTTATATTACATAAACCCGCCAAGAAAAGTGGTGTTTTGTCAAGTCACAGAGTGCGATATTTTGAAATGATGTTATCATATTTATTAGTAATATTACTTTGAATTGTATTAATAAGCATCAACCAGTTTTCGAAGCACTGACTGAACAGAAGAAACCCATGATAGACAAATCTACTGATATCAAATGTCGAAAATTGTCGCTACCTTTTGTTGTATTTTGTAGATTTTATATCTTTATTAAAAAAACTCCGTGTAAACACTACAAATACCAAATACGTACCAAATATTAAGTTAAGATAAACATCTTGCAAGAAAATATGATATGGAATTAAAGTTTGGCTGTAATTTCACGATAGATAACAATTCACTTTCCTCAATTTCATTATTTTGCCTTTTGAAGCTGTGGGCTCGCCATACTACTTTAACGTTAGTTTGGGCGAAGTTAATGGCGAAGCTGGCAAGATCACTTTTTTGCATGCAAACCCGCTTTTCTCCAATATCAGTTATCTTTGATATCGGTTGCTTAAATTTTTTACTCGTAAATTCACTTAGCTCAAGGTCGACGTTTTTTCAAATCACGCCTGAACATTATAAAGAAGGAAAACCAATGAAGGTTGAAAACGTTACTGATAAATATCATTGTCAGTTTTTGTGTCTGCACGAGCGAAGATGTTCTTCGGTAAATTTCAAGATAAAAAAAGATGATAATAGGCTGCATCGTTGTAAGCTTTTCACATCAGCTGCAAACGGAAACATTCTTCCTTGTAAAGAATATGATTTTTATGAAAATATTATTGGTAAGTATGATGATTTTTACACACACTTTTCTGCACTTCATAAATATTCAATTCTACTGTCAATCATGGTTCAAAACTGATGGAATTTTTATGAACCAATGAACAACGATGAGGATTTTACAAAGTCTTTCCCTAAAGTACGAGTTTTAAAAACTGCGTTCTAAAAAGAAATGAGATTTCTATTTTAGGCTACTCCCAACTAATGGCAAGTAAAATATGTCATTTTTAACTCGATCATCCTGCATCAAATATGTCCTTATAGTACTGATTTTCACTTTATAGTACTGATTTTCACTTTATAGTACTGATTTTCACTTTATAGTACTGATTTTCACTTTATAGTACTGATTTTCACTTTATAGTACTGAGTTTCACTTTATAGTACTGATTTTCACTTTAGGTCGAATGGGCGACCTATGCGTCAAAAATCTATAAGTTGCCGAAATAGTAAGCTATAGCCCTGAAATTGCTCGTACGAACTTACTAATAGATAGTGTCGATCTTACAGTTGAAAGAATTTCGCAACTAGGAAACAAAAGACACAAAACATGACTCTGCTTTGAAATGAATGCCAAAATCTGAGTTTGAAGGACGGCAGAGTACACTGATTTTCATCTCAATTTGTAGCGTCAAAATATGTTCTCCTAGCAAAAAGTCCACTTGGTTTGCAAACCCCTTTGATAGAACGTCCTCATTTCGATGTTTTCATTTTGTCAAATGCACTCCAGATTTTTAAACAGCCCTCTTTTGAAGACYAGGTACAACAAACTTCTATGCACGATCGAAATGCATCATGGGAAGACGGAAAATTTGGAAATATATCGTGCAGCATTCTTCTTTTAAGAATTTTAAGTTTAAGTACCACTAAAGATTGCTGCTTAACCATATATCTAGCATGTGCAAGTCCAATGGGTATGGAAAACCGAAAAATAAACGACAGTCAAATCACAGCTTCCTCGACATATGTAAGGCAGGATGCAAAGCCGATACACGGCCCGTGGTGAGTCAAAATATTCATAATCAATCTTATCATAAGCACTAAAGCCGATACACGGCCCGTGGTGAGTCACGATATTCATAGTCAATCTTATCATGGGAAACTGATTTAGAACTAGAACTTTAAATTTGGAAAAACTCCTCTTTACGTCCATTAAATCAGTGCAAATATCGTGAAGAGTTTCTTTGGGAAAATTTCTAAAGCCTATTCCTCACCTCAATGATGATCGATAAATAGCCGTCACATGATTTAGTCTTATAGTCTTATAGTCAAATAGAGTAATGTTGGTTGGACTTGAACTCAAGGTAATTCTGTTTCATCAACCAATTTTGTTTTTTATTCACCAAGCTCAGTTTCGGGCCTATATCGTTTGATTTATTTTATGGCATGGATTGCTAATGGCAGCACAAAACTAAAATGCACAGGGATCATGAACGAATGGCATACAATTCTTTTTGCGTGGAAGTCATCTTTAGATGTTTACCAGCAAAAGATAATTATTGGTGTTTAAACCGAAACAGGAATTTTCACCGGAGTTCTCAGATGAAAATACAATCACGGAATAATGCAATGATGTGTTTTGTTAATTAGGTATGGTCGCCTTAACAGAAAAGCTGACCAGCAGGGTATTGGTGGATGGGCAGCAGGTAGAAAAACTGATGGGGAGTACATTCAGGTTGATCTTGGCGTGACTAACGTCATCACTATGGTGTCAACACAAGGGAGGAGCTCATGTAGTTGTTTTCAGTGGGTTACCAGCTATTCGTTGGCTTACAGTGATGATGGTACGAGCTGGAAACCCTACGAAGGGGACTGCACAAAGGTATTTAACATATATATCCAAGATCTAGATCACGTTTTGATTGATTGATTGATTTTATTTTTTCGTTTTGTCTGTCTTTCTCCCGGGGGGATACTCCCCCGTAACTTGGGTGGG